CTCGTGGCTCAATTGTTAGGGCGTTTGACTATGACCGGAGAGATCGAGGGTTCGAAACTGGAGTGTGGTAGCAATTTCAGCAGCTACACTGGAGTTGGGTATCGCTAGCTGACGACGGCTAATAAATCAGAAATTATTTTGTTTGTGCACCGATCTATCTCTCAGGATTCGCCCATCCTGGGTTAATGCTTTTGCGAGTCGGATCGACCGATTGTTTTCCACAAAGCTACTAATAATTGATATGTTTCTAGCCAACTGTCAGTAACACATCTTTTTTATGTTTTCTTAGCAGTATTTTGGCGTAGACAGGCAATACCGCAGGATAGCTATTTCAGCTGCTACACTAGAGTTGGCTACCCGTAGCTGATGAGGGCCAATACCCCGAAATTGCTATTCTGCGGTATTGCCTGTCTATGCCGGAATACTACTAAGAAAATCAGAAATGACTACCCAGCGTCCCTGTCTTTGCCAGCAATACCTAATATATATCTATGTGGTGATAATGGGGCGCTCACCAATCGTGGCACTAAAAGAGGTATCTTTCTGGTGAGTGGCTGGAGGCAGAGATTGGTATAAGTTGCATACGTGTCTTGGTTTTGCTGCTCTATTATAACCGTTGGTTTAAATAAACAACTTTTCAATGCACAATTATGCTTTCTCACCTTGGGCTTGGTTCGACCATATACAAAGACGCCATCGGCGGAAACCTTTATAAGAACTTTCTGCTTTTTGACGCCTTTCGCTTTGAATTCATACTAAAGCGAGAAGAAAGACAGGTGCGTTAGTAAAAGATTAAAAAGTAAAGTTTTGCAGAAAATATTCCAAACGGAAACGCTAATTACATCTAGGCCTTCTATGTTTATTCTAAGCGGCTCTCAAATGGCATACTGAGGAACAGTTGGAAATTATATCAGTAAGAATTGTAATACGTTTTTCCAATTTCACCGGGCTGTTGATTTGTTGATTTGAACTAGAGTACTCTGCATAAAGCGCATATCTTAGAGACGGATACCGATCGATATAGTGCATTAGGTGCCGTGTAACAACATCTCAGAGGAACATGGAAGAGAAAAGAATCATTCAATACAAGACGCGCACAGAACTGTCACGTGGTGCCGCAAAATTCAAAGATTTATCGATTTTTAAGCGCATTTGAAATATGAACTGTTTTTGCCCAGGTGCCCAAAGATTGAGGGAACCAGCGTCTAAAATGTGTTAGGTGGGGATTCATATTTTTCTAAAACAACGTATTTGACGTCAGAAAGTATGTAGTTTTCTCATACTCCTAAAATAACTGTTGAATAGCAGGGCCTTTATGTCGCTTACTTTTTTCTTTAACGGTTAGACAATTTACAAGGTGATTTATATTACAGATGCACAGAGGATTAAAACTCTTCGGATCAAATATGGAAATCCGCTTTTTGTGATCCTTGAGCGCTATTATTTCCAAAACCCGCTTCTGGGCGTATCGACCTTGTATTTACATTTGAACGTGGTTATTGGCCGAAGGGCGAGTTAACTGCTGTTGCACAAGTTTATTTCGCTTGACGGAAATTCATATGCTCGCCAACCCATCATCGTCACGTGAGTTAGAGGCAGACCTCTTAGTGTGCGACGGTTAGCTTATCATGATGCTGACATAAAATATTATCGCGTTCAAGACCACCAGACTCAACTACCACTAAACTCTGACGATGGAAGCGAGAAGGTTTTCGAAACGTCAGTTCAAATATAATGGTCCTTGAAACCGCCCCATCTTCTTCTTCCTTACCTTTTGGAGATGATGAACGCGATAGCGTGTCTGAACCCCGAATATTTCGGCAAAGAATATTATTTTTTGTTACTTGACCCAGTTGGGAAAATCCTCGCGGCCTCGGTGGGAGTCAAACTCGCACAGCAGGGAAGACCCTTGCTCAGCCAACACTCTACCTATTGAGCTACAACGCATGCCGTGCACCGTAAATTTAATTACACCTGGATCGATTCTACCCGCCCAACTTAAATCGATTCACATGTTATTAAATTTACGGCGCACGGCCAACAGCGTGCGTTGTAGTACAATCGTTAGAGCGTTGGCTGCGCAAAAGGCCATTCCTGATGTGCGGGTTGCACTCCCGCCGACATCAATTGGGTCAACTAAATTAAGCAAATCTGCCAAACCTCCTAAATAATAAAGACAGCCTGGTAGTCATTCTGTTGGATTCTAGATGATTGTTTAAGAAATCCTGCTCGGGCAGTCAGATTGCTGTTCCGTAATGGTGAATTCCATTCGAGCGGTAAGTTGGGCAGGTTAAATCAATCAAATTGTGATTAAATTCACGGCGCACTAAGTGCGTCGTAGTTCAATCGGTAGAGCGCTGGCTGCACAAAAGGCCCTCCCTGCCATGCCGGTTCCACTCCCGCCGATGACGCAAGTTTTTTCACAATGGTATCAACTATATTATTTTTGGTCTGCATGCGTCAATTGGACACGGTTACCGTGCAGCAGGATAAATCGTATGAGACAACGGCGTTAATCGACACTTTCCTCGAAGCATCGGGTGCAGACAGCTCTCAAGCTGCTAGGTTCCTCGCATACAAGACCGCTCTGTTTGTCTGGTTTATGACGTAACTCCGATGTTAAGTGGGAGAACTGTGTAATTAGTGCGGATACTTGCCCCTTGAAGTTAAAAATGCAAAATCATTAGGGACGTTAAGATCAAAATTGTCTTTTGCAGTGATAATGCGTTAGAAATGTCAACTGGGATTGGTCCAGATCTAGGTGTGACGTTCGGTTTCCCTAGTGCTGGTACCGTTTGTCACCTGCTTAGACGTATTCGACGCACGGCTCGCGCTCAGAAATTATTTCCGATACTGCCCACAAAATCAGTTCAAATGTACCGAAAAATCTTTCCTGCAAGGAAGGAAGCAACGTAGGCTAACGTGCCCAGATTAGACAGTGTGAGAGTCCGTATCCGCCTAAAGTAATTATTTTCAGCTGTAAAATTCAGCAATCTGTCACAATATTTCTCCAAAGGAAGAAAAAGCAACATTCGGACACTTACACGGATCCGACGCATGGAAGAGACGATCTCCAGTCTGTTCTGTGGTCGCGGCACCTCCATTGTGCCGATGAACTGTTGTGAAATAAAGAGCAAGAACATTAGCTCCCGTAGGCTTTGCGATGCAAAAAGTAGAAAAAGTCGCAAAATGTCTGGAAATTTCCACCGCTTAAAACCGAGTCCCAACTGTCTTTTTCAAGTAGAAGATTCGAATGTTCAGTCGGAATAGGGGAAATCTCCCTAACGTTCGTTATGCAAGTGGCCTTGCGCAAAACCAATGTAAACAAATGAATACCACTTAAGCAGCCGTTGCAAATAGGAATTATATTTGCCGTCGGTAGAAAGAAGACGGTCAACAGCCTGGCTTGACTGATCCATCGTGGGATTATGCTGTATGACAATCGGTAGCAGAAATAAGTAATCCGTTTTAACGAAAACTCAATTTAGAAGTGTGTATAACATTTCATAAAAAACGTCATTTTATGCATTTCCAGTCTCTAGCCTTTCATTTTCCGGGAACGCTGAATGATAGGAAGTCGGCAGTGCTTAGGAGGAGCGATGCATATTTTAACTCAACATCAGTAACTTGACGAAGTTGTAAATACTGAAAATATTTCCTCTAGAAAGTGTGCGATACTAAGAGTAGCCAAAGGGGTACGTTGGACAGAGTAAGGCGCTCGAACCCAATGAATGAATGTGAAAGGAAGCACGTAATTCGAGTTCAACTGGAAGTTCCCAATTTAGTTCCCAGCATTCAATATTTCTGAAAGAACTTTTAAAGTTATTTTTATTAAATCAAAAGCGGCGACAGCGATGTCAGATTTTGAAATATGCTTGACAGTCTAACTTAATCAAAGCAGATTATAAACTCTAGCACAGTTCTATCTTTTTAACGCGGAACAGGGTTTATGAAACTTCCCTGGCACAGAAAGAGATGGAAATACGGACGCAACGCATCTGACACCAACGTGTATTATAATGGACGCTTGGGAATACTATATTACTGTAAGCATACTTTATTTAACTATATGGCTGTGTTCACGTTGTTCTTGAAAACACACTTTCGCCTCAACCCTTTCCATCTTAAAGAAACCCTTTTATTTGGAAACTCAGTTGCTCAGTGGAAGAAGTTTAGGTTCAGAGAGCTCTTATCGACTCTCCATTATCAAATCGTCTACTGTCTACTGTCTTGATCAGAATTTTGAATGACTAGCGAAAATTGTCGGTCTTGGGCTGATCAGTTTTATTTTCGTTCGTGTTGGGCTTCGTCGCCTCGGTGCAAACTGCTGATAATCCTGTTTCCTATTCTGGTGGGTTCGTCGCCGTGTGATGAAGCACAACACGAACAGCCGTAAAGCCACACCAAAATCAATACGAGGGCCACAGCAGCGAGCGAGAAAAAATCGATCAGCTCAGGTTCGACAAGTTCGGCCAGCCATTTAAATCTCCAATCGATATTAACGATAGATGCTTTGATAATGGAGAACCGGCGAAGATCTCCTAAACTGCATGAAGAATCCAAACCTCTTCTGATTAACAATTTTAAGGTCTTGGTTTCCACCCCTTCTACCTTGGAACGCTCAACTTTGCTTATCTGATAAGCCTGTTTAAACAAAGGTTCGCACGTTATTTTTTTTCCTTGACCTTTCATCATGATGTTTGGGTCACGCATACGTACTTCTCAATACCTGGTTCTATCCAACATTGTTTTTTAACGTCATAATAAGCTGCCCGCAGTCTGAATTCGTGCGGATTTGGTTTAAAAAATAAGTAAGTGTCCCCCAGCATAATTTAATCGCCAATTCTGCCATACAAAAATGATGGTGGTATGATGATCTTACTTCTCTTTAATCTGTTTCGCGTTGGTTGAAAACCAAAATAAAGATAAAATCCGATGGACGAATCAGCACTTCTTTTATATTCCAGGACTCGAGTGCTGCATAACTGTTACAGAGCATTTAGGCAGCCGAATTATGATCCCCCCTCCAAAGGCCCAAAGTTACAAATTCGGTTTTTCACGGATGATTCAGCATTGACTATGTATTGCGTGCTTATAATGAAAAGACCCGATTCAAACTGCGATTGGCTAGAAACGATCGTCCCTGGTCTCCGGTTTATCTCTAAGCACGCAATCCCGCGTTAAAATACCAATTTTCAAACCCAATCAAAACATTCATCATCGACAGAAAGTACAGGAACCCGTTCCAGATCACCCACAAAAAGCATGGAAGCATTATTCCTCATGTAAATGTGAAGGCTTGTTTTTGGCTCCAGCTATAAAACTTACACACTTGTGAGATCCAATTTGTCTACACCTTTGTGATAACATCTGGTGTGTTTCGTTAGATGGAGGGCGGTGGGGCGGGCCATTTCGTGTTTGTGCTATGGGTAGTCGGGCTATCCAGCTATGCCAGTCACTACGCGCTTTCGCGACGTCAGTTGGTAAACCGGCTCAGACTATCACATGGTGCAGGAGAGAGGAAATGAATGCTGCGGTCGGCTCTCACCCCAAACTTTTCCCCATAAATAATCTGATGCGCCAACATCGAACATGGCGCGCCGACATTCGTGGCTTATAAGGCTGTCCACTTACGAGATAG